ATGCATGTAGGGAAAAAACTTACCCTTCATGACCTTCCTCAATGCTGTGATTTCGTCAGTACTAAATTCAGTTGGTACTCTATTCCTGTATGAGAAGCACAATAAATTCTATTACAGTCAAGAGGAAGACAACTTTGATCGACTTGATGAGGGTAGACATCGATATGTCCTCTTTTACATTCAGTATGATTGGATCATTTATTTGAACATGGCAAATAGCAAAGTTCAGCCTTTTATCTTCCACAACCCTAGGAGTCAAGGGACTTTAATCATATATAAGGGTGGGGGGGGGGAGGTATGAATAGCTTATCCGGGGTGAAAATTTGCACTGTTCCAAAAATGTCTTATTGACCCTCCTCATGATATTTTGGTCATACATTTTTTCTTTGTAAACACTTTTTTTTTAAATCTGATGATCATAACGCATGTTTAGCTAGTTATTTGTTTAGTTTTTGCCAAACCTCTATACGTGTTTCTCTCTGCAGTAATATTGTAAATGAAGTCCAATTGTTGTTGCCTTCTCAAAGTCGACCGCTATTGTTTGTTTATTCCCCATATTGATCGGATCATACAATGTGTTGAACCATGCATTATACAAAATGAATACATTAATAAATGAATGCTTAAATATATAAATACAAATAAATTACTTCAAAAATATGCGAATGAAATGAATTGAATTGAATTGAATTGAATCAAGGTTTATTAAAAAAACATGTGTCGCAGCGCAATGGCTGAATTGATCATGTGTACAAATAAAACACTCATTGCATATTTCAAACATAAGATACAGTTACCATTAATTTGTCAATATTGAAATATATATAGTTACTATGATAGGATTGCGTGGGCAGCAAAAATAAGAAAACAGTATATAACATGAAGTCAGGAAAACGGAGAGGAGAAACATGGAGAAAAATAGTATAAGAGGAAGTTGTAGAAAATGCATGTACATAAAAAACTATAAATTGCATACATGTCTTTTTAAAGAGTCATTAGGACAATATACCAATATAAAAAATAGAAAAGTACATATTATTGTACTGTTATGAGCTGAAGTTATGCAGCACTCCTAATTTGAACATAACTTATGTGCTCATTGTTAGACAGCCATGCACATTCATTAAGAAGCAACCATGCAGAAAGCACTCTTCAACACAGTACTCTAGGCACACAGAGTGTGTGATGTATTTAATGAGTAATTAGCCATGCACACATTCAACCCTCACACACTGCCGTATGTACTGTACATGTGAGAGTGGTAAGTTGCACTTGACCACTAGCATGCACAGCATAAGCATGATGTTTTAGCTACACCAATAAACTCCTGAACCTCAAGCAAAGATATGTGGAGCTTTATTACTTTCTGGACCCACCTTCATTTAGTTAACTACTAACCAAGAAGTCAACATAACAAACCCACTATTTTTGACATGGTGGCAAACGGTGAGTGCAAGTTACCAACATGCCAGTCTAGCTACCAGTACCATGTGCAACACATCAGCAGCCATCTTGGATTTTGCAACACAGCAGCAGCCATTTTGGATTTTTCCTTGTTCAGGAGAAACACATAGGAAGTTGTTGGACACCATAATTCCATGAACAGTTAGTTAGTTTGATGCCTGAGAGTGAGTGGTGACACATTCCAACATTTTGTTCCTTTTTCTGAAGCACAGCATTGAAGTAACATTAAGATGGCTGATCATATACCACGAATGGATTGTGGTGCACCTAACCTTGCTGAAGCTTTTCGTATGTTCAGACAAAGATTGAGCCTATACTTTTTCGCTAGGCACACACCTAACGAGGATGAAGTACCTATCATTCTACTTGCTGCGGGTGAAGAGGGCCTTCATCGAAACAATTGTTGTACATTATCAGAGTCTGAACAACAAACAGCGAAGATCATCCTAGACCGTTTTGAGGAGCAACTAGAACCACAAGACAATTTTCGAGTATGTCGGCTGAAGTTGTCGAGAACAATGCAGAGGCCAGATGAAACGTTGGACGATTTCATAAACAGATGTCGACAAATAGCTCGTAAATGCGAATTTGATCACAAGGAGTTAGATGAGCGAATCCTTGAACAGATTATTGCCAGCACACCCATCACAGATTTCCGTAAAGACCTAATTACTACAAAGAAGGACTTTACACTAAAGGGTGCTATACAGCTCGGAAGGACGTATGAAGCATCAAAGTCACATGTCCAAACCCTCCAGTCTCTGTATCATCCAACACATAGTATAGATACAGTGCAACAGCAGAAACAACATACGAGTTTATGTAAGAAATGTGGGAGACAACATCGATTCGGCAAGGAGTATTGTCCAGCAGCAGGTGTTACATGTTTCTCGTGCAATAAGCAAGGACATTTTGCTCAATTGTGCTTATCAACCAAGCTCAAGCAACCACAGAAATATCATAAGTCTTATGCATCTTTCCGGAAGAAGAGGGGGGGGGGGTAGATGAACGCCAACACCCATCACGACGTTCCAAACAGGTGGATAACGTGCGAGAGGAACACACCGAATCTGAAAGTGGACTGGGTACGTTACCACAACGATTTGACATGTTTCATTTTGACACGATTGTCATTGACTCGTTGAAGAGGAATGAAGCTATTGCACACTTGGACATCAAATTGGAGGACAAACCAGGTGTCCATGACCTGAAAGTAAAAGTGGATACAGGGGCAGAAGCGAATACGCTGCCACTTCGAACTTTCAGAAACATGTATCCAGAGCAGCTTGATCGTCAAGGTTTTCCACGAAATCTACCAAATGCAAGCACAATCCTTTCAGCTTACAATGAAACGCTGATTGGACAGTATGGAACAGTTGTTATTCCCTGCAAGTATGGAGACACAGCATGGACTGATACCTTATTTAACGTGGTTCAGTCCAACGGCCCAGTGATACTTGGTATCCAGTCATCTGTAGAGTTTGGACTTGTTACTCTCCATTGCTCTTTGAACATTGAAACACAAGTCAGTGGTGTCCACGCTCTAGTACATCTCTTTCCACAGCAATTCGATAGGATTGGAGAATTTCGTACCACACATCACTTGGCAGTTGACCCCAACGTTCCAAGTCATGTCGACGCTCCTAGAAAGATGCCTATTGCCTTGAAAGACAAAGTCAAGGCAGAACTGGACAGTATGGAAAGCCAGAGTGTGATCAAGCAAATCATCGAACCAACCGAATGGGTGAACTCAATCACATATGTCACCAAGAAGGATGGAAGCATTCGCATTTGCTTAGACCCTCGCAGATTAAACAAGGCTCTTATCAGACGACACTACAAACAGCAGACCTTGGAGGAGTTGAATCACAAGTTTCACAACATGCAGTACTTCTCCAAGTTAGATGCAAAATGCGGCTACTGGTCAGACAAGTTAGATGAGGCCAGCCAAAGACTTACCACATTCCAGACACCTTTTGGAAGATATATCTTCTGTCGCCTACCATTTGGACTCAGTGTAAGTCAGGACATTTTCCAGTTGGAGATGGACAGAGTTCTAGAAGGCTGTAAAGGGGCAGAATGGATAGCAGATGATATTGTAATCTTTGGGCATACAGTGGAAGAGCATGACCGCAACCTTCTCAACTTCATGCAAGTAGCAGCAAAGAGAGGCCTCGCAGGAATGCCGACTCCGAGCACCAAGGCTGAGTTGCAGCATTTCCTAGGTTTCATTACTTACCTGTCTCACTTCATCCCAAATTTCAGCACAAAGACTGCAGTTCTGAGAGATCTCTTTAAGAAAGAGGCTGATTTCATCTGGGAACCACATCATCAAGCAGCTATGGAGAAACTCAAGCAAGAAGTTTCAGAGAAATCACTACTCAAGTTTTTCGACACAACATCCCCAGTGTATTTGCAGTGCGATGCAAGTCTTCAAGGGTTGGGAGTTGCACTCCTACAGCATGACCAGGAACTGAAACACGCTATTCATGTATTGAACGAGAGCTGATTGCTATTGTGTTCGGAGTAGAACGCTTTCACAAATATCTCTATTGCAGGCTCTACCGTGTGATCACAGACCATAGCCACTTCTGATGATTATGGACAAACCTCTCACAGCAGCCCCTCCAAGGCTACAAAGGATGTTGATTCGACTACAGGGATACAACTTCCAGATCACACACCGTCCAGGACTAGACAACCTGCTCGCAGACAGTCTCTCACGATTACCAAGCACTCACAACAATGAAACATTTGAACTTGATCTGAGAGTAGATCTGGTGCAGTTCTCGTCAAGGAAAGTAGATGAACTGAAACACACTACAAGACAAGACAAAGTCCAGAGTGCACTGATGGAAGTTATTGTGATGGGCTGGCCTGATACGGTGAAGCAAGTGTAACAAGAGTTGAGAGAGTTCTGGAGTTACCGAGATGAATTAACAGTAAGCGACGGTAAGAGATCAATGTTGAGTTATTTATCACCTGCCGCCGCGTAATACCCAACCGTAGTTTACTCAAATTGACACAAACGAAGTTCTTACTCAATGTTGAGTCATTGATTTACTCTTTATCGAAGGTAACAAATTACTCGGATGACGAGTACCACTAAAATTGACTTATTACTCCAGCTTGAGTACTGAATTGCTCATTTTGTTTCTCAGCTTGTTTTACTCGGCACAATTTACTCGCTGATATTAAGAGTGCAGATGCAACCAGACATCTTGAAAAAGCTCCATACCAGTCACCTAGGCCAAACAAAAACCAAGTTGCTGGCCAGAGGAAAGGTGTTCTGGAGTAACATGAACAAAGACATTGACAGAGTGGTGCAGTCATGTAAGAGATGCCAGGAACATCAACCAGCACAAACGCCAGAACCACTCCAGCCACACGAAATTCCCACGATGCCCTGGAGCACGGTGGCAACAGACATGTTTGAACTCAAAGGCAAACAATGGTTAATTGTAGTGGACTACTAAAGCAAGTACCCAGTGGTTCGCCAGTTACCAGACCAAGCAACAAGCAGTGCTGTAATCACTATGATGCAACAAGTGTTTGCAGAGCATGGCATACCAGCAAAGGTGGTTAGCGACAATGGACCCCAGTATGCCAGTTACCAGTTCAAGTCGTTTGCAGAATCATGGGGTTTTGAACATGCCACATCGTCCCCCAGACGACCACAAGGCAACGGATTTGTAGAGAGACAAGTCAGAACCATTAAGGGTATCATGAAGAATACTTCAGACATTCAGCTAGCACTACTTCTTTGGCGTACAAATCCCATATCAGAGAAACTACCAAGTCCAGCTGAAATTCTCATGAATCGCCAGTTGAGAAATACACTCCCAGCCAAGTTGCAGAGAACACAGCCAGATGCTGATGAAATTCACAATCAGCTAAAGGAAAGACAGAATAGTCAAAAATTCTATTTTGACAAACATGCCAGAAGAGCTGACTTGCCAGAGCTTTACCTTGGGCAAGATGTAAGATATCGCGACCCTGTGAGCAGACGGTGGTGTCCTGCGACAGTAGAAACCAGGGCTGAGGGACAGCGCTCCTACATTCTCCAGAGCCCTGAGGGACATTGCCGACGACGAAACAGGCAGCACATAAGACCTGACCATACCGACCAGTCTGCAACTGAGGTTCCCGGGGGTGCTGATAGCAACGGCCCAGGTGATGACGGTGCCTCATCCACTGACCACGATGAGCAGTTGAGCACTCCACTTCGTGCGTTTCCCGAGCCTCGAAGTAGCCCAGGACGGGAGGAGGCTCCACCTCGAAGCCCAGGACGGGAGGAGACCCCTGAGCTTCCAGGGGCTCTGCCCCCTGGACCCTACCAAGGGCCCCAAGGCGGGCCCCTGGATGCTCATCTGACCGTAATTAAATTCCTAAAATCTCCGAGCTTCCGGGGGCTCTGCTCTATGGACTCTCCACCAATTAGTGACCTGCCAGTGTCGCAAATAAGGTATCTAAATATGCTTATCTGACCTAATTTAATGCCTAAAAACCCTGAGCTTCCGGGGGCTCAGGCCCTGGACCCCACGTCATTTTACGCTCTACCTGATCGTGTAAGAGCTAGTGGTGGTGATGAAGATTTTTCTTCTCCCCCCTCCCCCCCCCCCTTCAAACGTTTTTGCTCATTACGACACTGCCCCTGGAAGGTTAGCCCCTTGGAATGTTTGCCCTCCCCCAATCCCAAAATGCTTCCGGCGCGCCTGCCTACAAATATCTATAGAATACAGTTATTTATCTCATGAGAAAAAGAAAAAGAGAATATAATGCAGACCAGATCTCACAAAATTATAACAATAGTAAGCAAATATGGAGATGTTTGAGAAAACTTGTGCCTAAGTCATTACCTATTTCTCCCAATAGCATACACGTTGATGGTGCTAATGTGTCAGACAATGCAAATATTGCTGAAGCTTTTAATGACTTTTTCATTTCTAATGCTACTAAGATTACAAAAGACCTGCGATGGAATACGTGTCAACTGAGAGTAGACGAGGACAATAATATTGGTCCAACTAATTCACAATTTAATTTGAATTTGATTACTGAGGATTTGGTATTGAAACAGATTGATAATCTGAGTATAGATAAAGCAACTGGTGAAGATCACATCAGCTGTAAACGTTTAAAGATGACGAAGAATTTTATTGCAGAGTCTCTTTGTGACATAATTAACAAATCTCTGTCTACAGGAATTACTCCACGTGAATGGAAAAATGCTCGGGTAGTACCAATATTCAAATCTTTATTTCTTCGTTGAATAATTACCGCCCCATTTCAATATTACATACCGTGAGTAAAGTTATAGAAATGGCCGTCCACCAACAACTAACTGAATTATTGGACGAGGATCAATTATTTCACCATAATCAATCTGGTTTTAGACCTAAACATTCAACAGCTACTGCCCTTTCATAACTAGTAAATCAATGGTCGTTGAATATTGCTAACATTTAAAGAAATTTCTGGAGTTGCCTTCATAGATCTTCGTAAGGCTTTTGATACTGTTGACCATGAGCTACTGCTACATAAACTATCCTGTATAGGATGTAGTAATATGACTATTTATTGGTTCAAATAATATTTAGGGAATCGACAACCAGTGACCTAATTCAAAAGAGCCAAGTCGTATTAATCAACCATCAAATTAGGTGTGCCACACGGTTCAATTCTTGGTCTCCTTTTATGTTCAATATATGCTAATAGTCTACCTGAATGTACTCCTGAAGGTATCATAGATATGTATGCTGACGATACGACACTTACCATCAGTGCAAATGATGCAACTGTTGTGGAAGAAAAATGAACTGTTGCATTAAACAGAGTAATGGCATGGATTAAGGAAAATCGTCTCGTCACTGAAAAAAATTGTGTCATGTTAATAGGCTCTCATGCTAATCTCAGGAAAATTGAATCTTTCATCATTTCATCAAATGGCAATTTGATCAAAAGATTTCAATTCACCAAATGCTTAGGACTTTTGATAGATCAAGAATTGAAATGGTCTAAACAAATCGAAAACGTAGGTAAACTTACCTCAAAAAACATTAGCATGATAAAGAGAGCAAAGAGTTTTTTGCCTCAAAAATCCGTAAAGTTACTTAATAACAGTATAGTGTTGCCACGATTAGATTACTGCTCTGTTGTATGGTCGAACAGATTTAATTCTCATACAACTAAGCTGCAAACAATTCAAAAGAGGGCCGCAAAAATAATATTGAACGAGACATAATTATGACACACCGTCGGCTGATTTGTTCACAAGTCTTAAATGGATGACACTAGACAAACGTTTTGAGTTAAGTCGCGTTATGATGATATATAAATGCGTTCATAACTTAGCACCTTCTTACCTTCAGGTAGGTTTAATCAATCCTAATGGTGTACATGAGCGTCATACAAGGCAAATAGACAGTGGATGTTTACTTGTGCCTACATTTTACACTGATTGTTATAAGTGTAGCCCAATTGTTTCTTCTATATTTGAATGGAATGAGCTAGATAATTCGATGAGAACGGCTTCATCTGTCAATTCATGTAAGAGATTGTTTAAACAAAGTTGTAATTTGTGAATAGCTCAGCCGAACATACACTACGTGCATGTTCTGTTATGTTATCATGACTTATTCACATAATTGCGACTTAAAAAAGAAAATCCTGTTGACATTTCTGTTGAACTAGGTTAATGATATATGTTTATTTTGCAACGAGTATATTTTTGTTTAACTGTTCTGTATAAACGTTATAAACGATGTAAATATGTTCGAATTTTGTCAGGGCCCCATGGAAGACCACTACTTATTGGTGAATGGGCTAACCTGTCAACATATTAGAAATAAATAAATAAAAGTAGATCTCGAGATCTATTGTTCTAGATTAACTAGTCTGTTCTTTGAAAATTGATGAAAATTTGACACAATAAATGTCATTCTGATTTTATTTTATTAATAAAGTCCGTTAAATTGAGAAGGCCCTTTAACATTAAATACTGGGGAATTTCAATATCTCATGAAAAAACAGTTTCGCTTCTATTTACAAACAGTAATACAAAATGTGAACTGAAACTTGAAGGAGTACCCTTACCTTCTGTACAGGAGCACAAATTCCTAGGCTTAATGTTTGATACAAAATTAAGTTAGAGACTACATATTCAGGATAAAGTAAAAAGATGTAAAATAAAATTGAATATTTTGAAGAAAATAACTGGTATATCATGGGGAAATGACTCCCACTCTATGCTTATTGTATATAAGGCATTAATACGTTCACTGTTTGACAATGGATGTGAAGCATATGATTCGGCTTCAAACTTAGTGAAGAATACGTTGAACTCAGTACGATATCAGGCTTTAAAAATGATAACTGGTGGCCCTATTGGAACTTCATTACAATCCCTGCTTAACGAAACAGGAGAAGAACCACTAGACATAAGGAGAAAAATGCTGACGAATAGATATTATTTTAAAGTGAAATCTACTCCCCAACACCCGGTCCAAAAATGTACAATCAACTGTTGGCATTATGAAAATCTTTAAAAAAAGAAAAGAAAAAAAGCCCTCTGGTTTTAGAATTCTAAATGAGAAAATAGTTCAAGAATCGGATGAGGTTGAAGAAAATAGACCAATACCATTTCCACCTTGGCATTACATACCACCCACCATCTCCACTGAATTACATACTTTAATCAGCAAGAATGACAACCCACACTATCAAAAAGTCAAATATTTAGAAGTAATAAACACTAGATATAAAACACACCTACATATATACACAGACGGATCTAAAGATCCGAAAGGAGGTAATGCGGCAGCAGGCTTCTACGTCCCAGCGATGAAAATTCATGAACAGAAAATATTACACAATGACACATCGTCATACAGGGCAGAACAAGTAGCCATTATTATGGCATTAGATTGGATTTGATTTATGTTGGTATTGTTATTCTTTCATACTCTCTAAGTACAATAAATGCAATAGAATCTCAGATAAAAGAAAATTTCGTAGTATAGAAATACTGATAAAAATGACACATCTTCATTATAAAGGTATCAACATAACGCTAGAATGGATCCCATCTTACTGTGGACTAGTAGGAAATGAAGTAGTAGATAGTTTTGCAAAGAGAGCATTAAAGAAAAACATAGAAATTAACAATGATCTTAATGTACAAGAACTGAAATCAACACTGAGTAACAGAGTACGAGAAATGGGGGAATAAAGATGGAAAACGATAGAATCACCTCTAAAACGATTTCAGAATCATTCATGTATATCATTCAAGGTAACAGACACAGTGAAGTAATATTACATAGATTGAGAATGGGTGTTCTTCAACTGAACCAACAAAAGACTAAAGAGGGTTTTAGTGAAACAGAATATTCTGATTATTGTAACATCAGTGAAACAGAAGAACATTTCATATTTTATTGTAATAAGTATATCATTGAACAAGCAATGCTTTTCTCAGATTTAGACACCAAAACAAAAGAAGAAACAAAAATAATACTTTTCAAGTTTTCACAGAAGGCTCAATATGCCATCCTACTATTATATCCATAGAACAGGTCGCTTTAAATAAAACAAGAGACCTCATTAATAAGTTTACCTACAAGTAAAGTAAAATAAGCCAAAAGTACTCCTTTCCCCTCTCACTTCTTTAGGAGATTCTTCTAGATAGAATAAAAGGAGGAATAAATAAAGAAATATAATGTATGTAAGTATGTAATATATAGGCCTATATAGGCCCTATATAACATGAAAGAAAGACGTTCATATTTAAATTTGTTCTATTTTTATGCATTGATACTAACAAAAAACACACTTTAATGTTTGCTTACAAATAGTGATAATGTGATAAGATTTGTATAACAATTTACTTGAATGGATTGGAAATTCGGTTTCAGGAGCGCCCCTGTACGATGTGTCTCAATTTAGTGTTTCTGTGTTTCTGAGTGGTCTAGGCACCGTGCGTTACAAAATTAAAAGATCACTGCGAACGCACGCCGAGTAGCCGAGAAGCCTGTTTCAAATCGGGCAAAGCTAGTTTTCCATGCAATCGAAACCGGGCTGACCAGATTAAACTTTACAAAAAGCAGAAACACGAAGTTGCAAACCATCCAGAGACTCCTAATAAATTGCGTTACTGATTAATTAATTATATCATTACAAATCTTTATTCTCAGTTTTCTTATGTATAACAGATTTTCTTATACAATTGAAGATATGGCGTATATATTTAATACTGAATGAACGCCATTAAACTATTACCTACACTCTTAATGTCAGCGAGTAAATTGTGCCGAGTAAAACAAGCTGAGTAACAAAATGAGCAATTCAGTACTCAAGCTGGAGTAAGGTGTCAATTTTAGTGGTACTCGTCATCCGAGTAATTTGTTACCTTCGATAAAGAGTAAATCAATGACTCAACATTGAGTAAGAACTTCGTTTGTGCCAATTTTGAGTAAACTACGGTTGGGTATTACGCGGCGGCAGGTGATAAATAACTCAACATTGATCTCTTACCCAAATTTACTTCGGGTGCGAGTGAAAGTTGGATCGATGGAAAGTGCAACTAGCTGTCAGTATGCATGTGACACCTGTTCTACACATTTTTACCTAATAGCAGCTGTATGTTCTTTTGTCTACCTAAGGAACCGTATATTTGTCCTTTTTCATTGTCCGTCATGTGCATGTCTCGTGCATGCATGTGCGTATGCAGAAAGATGCGAAAGAACTGAGATAGATGTGACACATTGGGAAGAAATTCTGAGCTCATGGATCGAGCTTGGAAGAGCTCCAACCGACATCTAGGTAAGAAATCCTCATGATAATATTAAAAGAGCTACCGTATGATATTTAGTCAAGTCTCAAGGACACTGTGTTGATCAAGATTGTGAAATTATTGTTGTCACTGTCGATGTCATTAATGTGATTTTGAACTAGGGCGATACTCTAAGGGCGAGCGTGCATGCATTAATTTAGTGACCGGTAATAGCTAGCCTACTTTATTGTATTTGTATTAAACACGTATTGGCCTGGGGTAGGCCTATTGATGCAGATGGTTCTAGGACAATCACCCCTGGGCAATCGGCCAATTACCAGCGGGACAATTACCCCCCCCCCAGAAAATAACCCCCTGAAGACAACCACCCCAGATGACAATTACCCCTAGAAAATTACCCCCTAGGACTCGGAGTAGGACAACTTCCCCCCGAAAAAGACAATCTTCTTTTTATCAAAACCAATTAGTTGGTATCATCCTATCGAAACTTAATGCACATATTAACCTCTACCTTGTTAATTCCTACCATGTTAACTACATATCCAAATGTTATCATTTTAGGAAGGAACTGGCTTGGACCTTTTTTCTGGCCTCCTTCAGAGAAAGGAGCCCACTGTTTTTGTTGGTGCTTTGAGGAGCACCGAGGAAGCCAGGACAGTGTTATGTAGTCCTCGAGAGAAGCGCCTATTCATGCTCTTCATTGACAGCAGCAGTTGACTACTGCTACAAGATGTTTCAAGTACTACAGCCGGATTACCCTGCCCAGGCAGCTGTCATATGGGACTTCTTTGATTGTCTCATTCATGGAATTCGTACCAAGGATCTTATTAAACCATGGACCCTAGTACAGATGGACTAATAATGAGAGTCTTTCTTTGATGAGAGAACTCTGAGTTTTCACTGTGATTCAAACTGACTTTGGAAATTAAAGTCCACAAATTATGTTACTGAATTTAAAATGTCGTTGACTTCATGTTATTTGCAAAGTGTGTGAGTGAAGAACTTCAAACCAATGCTAAATTTAGAAATCAGGCAAAATGATGGTTTTTGTTCTCTATTGACAAATAATGGTTACTTAACAGCTGTTAAACATAAACAATATTAATCAGCGGTTTAGTTAAACCCTTAGTCAAACAGTTACAACCCTAGTTGAATGCACCTTTGTTTTAATCAGTATTGAGTAAAAAAAAATGTACTTAATAACTTGGTACATGTTTTTACTCAATATTGATTGAGCAACTAAGCGTTACCCAGAAAACATCATACTCAATATTTGAGCAAAAAATTGCTCAAACAATTTGAGTCAAAACATGTACTCGTTAATTGAGTAAAATTTGGCTCAACTCATGAGCAGTTTCTTACTCGACATGAGTTGATTACGTTTCTACCCAGATGCTGAGTAAAACATGGAACCGCTCAACAAAGGAGTAAATATTGAGTAAAGGTTGACTCATTCAAACTGAGTAGAGATTTAGTCTTTTATTGAGTAATATTTTTACTCACCAGATGAGTAGATTTGTTACTCAACACATGCACAGTAAAGTTTACTCAAAAGTCGGGTGGTTCCCTTTTGACTACTCAAAAGAGTAACTTTTTTAATACTCAAATTGTGCTCTCTTTTTTTAGAGTGTACAACAACAATATTAATTTCAGCTGTTTTGTGTGTGTTTGTTTTTAATTCGTTGTCCTTATCGAAAAGAAAAAAGGGTAATAAAGTTGGGTGAATGTGGAGTCTGAATCTACATGCCTAGTCGTACCGATAGACCCCATTCATTCACCTTTGTTATCTAAATTGAACTGAATGAAAGAACTGAGTAAACAAATTACGTCCCAAAATTTATTTACAAAATCAAACAAACAATTGTGTTCTCTTGTCCTAATGTCAGTCTTGATGATTGCCATGGCATTGGGTCTACTTTTCATAGGACTTCAAGCTCAAGTCAGTTCATTTCCGAACAAAAGGCATGCAATATTCATATCGTTTTTCTATCCGCATAATAATAATAATAATAATACATAACATTTATTAGGCGCTTAATACTGATGTTTCTAAGCGCACAGTGTTCTGATTAAGAGAAGACTATAACCCGTAGAATCAAATTAGAAGAAAAAGCAAAAATACAAAAGTAACATAGATAAGGTAAGAAAAACAGTGGCAATCAACTAAATAAAGACAAATATGGTGCGCACCTCCATTGACCGACGCACAACTGCAATTTACAATTTGAAAAGATAGGTTTTGAGTAGAGATTTGAATTGAGATACAGAGGGGGCGCAGTGAATAAAGGCGGGCAGTTTGTTCCAGAGAGCGGGGGCAATAACTGAAAAGGCGCGGTCACCATACCGGGTGTTAGTGCGGGGTCCAGGTGTTAACAGTAATGTGGAAGATGAACGAAGTGTTCGTGACGACGTACGGGAACGTAAGGATATGAGATCGGAAAGGTAAGAGGGGGCTAAGCCATTGATAGCTTTGTAGCACAGGAGAAGAATTTTGAAGGATATGCGGTGGTGAATTTTAAGCCAATGTAGTGAGTTCAATATTGGAGTTATGTGCTCTGATTTACGCGAAAGAGTCACAAGCCGAGCAGCGCTATTCTGTACCCTTTGAAGTGGGACTAGATGTGACTGAGGGAGGCCAGAAAGAGAAGAATTACAGTAATCGATATGGGTCGAGACAAAAGCATGGACTAATTTTGAAGTTGTGGGTCGGTCAAGTAGCCTCCTGATTCTACTGATCTTATATATACCAAAGGAAGCAGACTTACAAATATTACTAATGTGTTGTTTGAAAGTAAGATTGCTGTCAATATTTAAACCAAGGTCACGCACAGAAGCACAACAACTGAGAGAGCCATCACTCATAACAAGATCAGGAAAGGGGTCTGAGTTCCGAAATTTAGAAGTAATATGAATCATTTCAGATTTTGAATCATTAAGGCAGAGACAGTTTTGAAAAGACCAGGTTTTGATTTCATTGAGGCAACCGGTGAGTTTGTTCGCGGCTACTGTCCTGCTGTTTGGGTGAAGAGTTACATAAATCTGGGTGTCGTCTGCATACATAGTGTGTTGAATATTCTGATGAAGGTTAATAACATTTGAGAGAGGGCTGGTGTAAAGAATAAACAGGAGGGGGCCGACCACGGAACCCTGAGGAACGCCGCAGATGAGGGGAAATGATTCCGAGTTGGTGTCATTGATGATCACCTTCTGAGTTCGGTGCATGAGATAGGAGCGAATCCATTGAAGTACGGTGCCGGTGATGGAGAAGTCGTTCTCTAAGCGATGGAGTAACAGGTCGTGGTTGATAGTGTCAAATGCGGCAGTGTAATCAAGCAAGATGAGGACAGCTTCATTACCCTTATCTATAGCTAGAAGTAGGTCATTTAGGACCTTGACAGTTGCAGTCTCAGTAGAATGATGATTCCGATAGGCAGATTGGTGGATTGGAAACAAACCGAGATTGTCAATGTGGGCTTTCAGCTGTAGTGACACAATACGTTCCAAAACCTTCCCAAGGAATGGCAGGTTTGCGATGGGCCTGTAGTTCTTAAGTCCATTCGTGTCGAGACTCGGCTTCTTTAGGAGGGGAAGAAGCACAGAAGTCTTAAAAGACTCTGGAACTATTCCGGATGATAACGAGAGATTGAACAGTTTGGTTATGTGAGGAAGGAGTTCATCGAGGACTTCCTTTAGAAGCCAGGTAGGAATCGGATCTAGCTTACAGTGTTTAGAAGGAAGTGAAGTGATGAGCTTCCTGACTTGTGAGAGGGATACAAGGCAGAAATCAGAGAGTTCATGACGAGGGCCTGGAGCAAAAGATCTTGAAGCTGGTGCTGGTACTGGTACTACATTAGGGAAAGAGGATACAACTTTGGCGACTTTTTCCCTGAAGAATGTAGCAAATCTGTTGGCGAGTTCACTATCAGAAGAATGATCTGGAAGAGGTGAAGATTGAGTGGGCGTTGAGAGTGTCTTCACAAGACGAAACAGTTCTTTAGTGTCAGCATTCTTGATGAGATCTTTGAGATACGCTGACTTCGCATTGAAGATGCACTCATAATATGACTCATGACTTGCGTCACCCTCTCTGCAGCCATGAGTTGTTGCTGCGCTGTCGAGAACGTTGCGTGTTGCCAAAAAAAAAATCTCAAAGCCATCAAGACCTGCTGATGGGCAGCTAGAGCCTTGCTCCTCTTTGTGGTATGCTCTAACTTATCGTTTAACTCATTTATTATTTATAACACTCCTTCCATAATAAATCTGTATTTTTGTTTACATATCTCATCATCACATAACTCTAGAGGATTTGTACGGTCCCGGAAAACACACTCTCCATGGAGGTTAGCACCCCTAGGATATTCATGAGTCCGGCAATTTTGCCTTTTCGGTTGTCGACACTAATTAGTCGGTGTTAATTTAATTTATTAGTAAGTATACAAGGCCACCGACAAATTTATTGAAATTAGTTGGTGGACTTGAATAAAGTAGTCGGTGTTTTCCACCGACTAATTTTCATGAAATGGAAATTAGTCGGTGACAATGAATTTGTCGGTAAAAATCATATTAGTCGGTGAAAATCACTGACTAATTGATTCATGAACGCCCCCCCCCCCCCAGTCACGAAATTGTGCATGCCCCAAGGAGCTTTAATATACAGAGTTTGATGAATGAAATCTATCCACCGCCTCTCCCTCCCTTACCCCGCCACATGAAGAGAAAGTACATTACATGGCATATTGTCTTTGTTCTTAGAACAGGATACCAACTAATTAACAAAACAAAAAACCCTAACGCAATTTCAATAGCCTTGCTCGTCATCTATTGAAATGTGCGAACACGACAATGTTAATAACGTAATCAGAACATAATTTGTATGGAGCATAAATAGGGTATTGAAATCGCCCTTTTCTTTTTTCCTTTTCTTTAAGAAAAATATTTATAAGGTGTTTTATTGTTTTAATACCAGAATCGGTACATATATTAATCAAAATCTTGCAATTTACATCATACCGACTTCACATCACATTCAGAATAATCAAAATACAATTCAAAAGGATAATTCTTAATTAACATCAATTGCTAAACAAAACAGCTCTTTCATACATTTCCTTATTCATTTAAAAGAATAATAGTAATACTAATAATGATAAAATACCTAGTCTTTTCATGTTCATTTTTTTCATTCAAAAACGCTTTATATCATATACCAAACTAAACTACAAAAAAAGAAATGCTTGTATATTTTAGAAGACATTTTATTTGACCTTTTATATTGACATCCCCATGCTCCAAAAAGGAAGATCCAAGACTGCCCATGACACACACAAAAACGGAACTAAGTATGGTGAGTAAAAATCGTAGCTTACTCATTCAGTCGAGAGAATATATCTAATAAATGCATTATGTTACACATTTGGTGAATACACCACCTTTCTCTTAGTAAAATGTTACACGCATGATATTTAAAACGAGTATGTGACCGGATTATTTTCTCGATGAATCTTTTTACTCATTAAAGTACATGTAATTTAATATCGGATGAGTATTCTTCAACCTCAGTGACCGAATGAGTAAAAATATGCACAAAGGCGTTCAGAATACGTACACGCTGGCGGACGGTGCTAGCTGCCTATTGACACCAACATAATACACTCTTGATGTCAGCGAGTAAATTGTGCCGAGTAAAACAAGCTGAGTAACAAAATGAGCAATTCAGT